ATATTCTAATTCTCCTAGTTAAGCCTTAAAGAAATACTATTCCAAAAGTTGTAAAACTTCATAATATAACTAGTTTTGATATTCCACTATTCTTTTTTTGAGCAGATTAAAATTATTTACATATAAATTGGGGGAAGGGAAAAAGGGTTATGTGGGGATCGAACACGCGACCCATAAGAGGTGAACGACCCTAATCTAACCTAAGATCCATGCCACTGGACCAGAGCGTACAGTTCTTGATATTCTACTATTCTTAGATATTTAGTTGAAAAGTTTTAAATCTTAATTATGAATGCTTCTAATTAATTCTAGTGATATTCATTTTAAATTTTATTTGTTTTTAACAAGGTTTAGAAGATGAGATTGAGTTATTAGTGCGTTAAGAAGAAAAAACTAATTTTAACATTTAAGAATTACTTGTAGTGTGCTTAAAACTTGAAATTATCTTTTATTATCCTTGGTGATGTAGCCAAGAAAAATTTCTAGATCTTTTCAATTTTTACAATTGTAAAGGAATACAAGAACTTGTTTATATTTGTGCCTTTCTTAATTATGTTTCTACTTTTTTAAATGTTAATGTTTTTTATATTTATGTTTTATATTTGATGTTAAAATTTTTTACATTATATCATAATATTTAATAGTGTTAGAAACTTATCAATCACAACAAATAACATTGATTTGATTTAAGTTAAATTGGTTTGGTTATTATATAATAGTATATTGGATTGGTTTAAAAATTTTACTTACCGATTAAATTAGATTGATTTAAAAAATGTTAAAATTCCAATCAAACTATACTGCAAACACCCTTAAGTTGAGAGATAAAAATTATAAAAAAATCTTAAAATTAAAGAGATTAAAAATGTGCATATATGGATAAATTTAATAAATTAATTGATGGAATAACTAAAAAAATATATTTTTCATAATTCATAAAAAAAAAAAAGTAAAGTAAAAAAAACAGATATAAAAGGCAACAAGGGCCGAAGTTCCAAAAAACTGAGCATGCCTTGCACAATGTTCCTGTGCCCTGACTTATTTCTCCAAGTAAAAGTGATTTCTATTGTAATAATTTGTGAACATTTTTAAGCTCGCGGTAGGCTAAATTAATAGGCAGATATCACAGGGGGGCAGAAAAAGTGATTAATAAAAGTGATCATCTCCTGATTCTTTAGCTGGCATAGATTTGCTCCTGGATCAGGGAATAAATTCATACTTGCAAGAGTCGTAACCTGCAGATAAACATTTAGGAATAAAGGTTAATTGTGCACGGAAAACAGAAGTTAATAATGAAAACAGCTGTGCTGTGATAGATATATCTTTTTCAGTTGTGACAGGCTAATAATAAAAAGTCAAATATTAGATAAAAAGATTTAAATGCCATTAACTAAATTTTAGTATAGAATGATGTCTTCTTTCCATAATAATATAGTTACAATTACATATAAAATTATAAATTTATAATTATAATATGTTATTAATAATTAAATGTGTACAATATTATAAGTAAACTCATATATAAAAAAATTAATTTTATAATAATACAAAAAATATTGTACCTATATAATATTTTATTTTATTTAGCTAATCAGGATTAAAAAAGACATTTAGGAGTGTTATTAACTTTGTAAAAAGTTTGCCAATAGAATAAAGAGATACTGCAGTATGAATTGGACACGATTTAGCATCACCCCACATGGGTCAATTTTCTTGATTTGCAATATTGGTCTCTTTTTGCCGTGATCCAAGGCAGACAACCCATTTACTTTTGCTTCATGAAGCTGAATGTTGATCTAAAGAATAAGTATTTAATTGTAATAGCTGGACATGAGTCATGACCCTCAAGGCTTCCAATGCGCATGGGGACATTCATCATTTTCCCATCGAATATGAGGCACTGTTTGTGGTTTCTAATATTTTGTTGTAGTTTTTCAAAATTTTGTAACAATTGAAAATTAAAATTGGAATTCAAAAATCAATAAATTATTTAGGATAACTTTCAATATGATAACTAAAAGTAGTTAAGAAAATTATTTTTATTTTATTTCTCCAATAATTATAATAATATGTTAAAAGTTAAACAAACTAAACAAGTTATTATTTATAATTAATGGACAAATTTATAAAAACTAAAACAAATAACCTAAAAATTTAACTATACTACTATAAATGTTCTTTAGGAATTTCTAATGTTGAGACCCAAGATAAGTATTGAGAACCAACAAAACAAAGAATAAATTAAGAAAAATAGGGTGAATCGTGATTGCTTACTGGGATCAAGATCTGAAACCAAGGCAGCTCCCTTGAAGTAGCAAGATCCACCATTGTGCTTCAACTTCTGAAAGTAGCTGTTGAATGCATAGGAAGCATGGTGTCTCACTGTGTTGGGATAATAGCAAGGCTGGTTTTCCTGAATCTTGCTGCAGTCTGCTCCATTCCCACAAGCCCAATCCATGGCCACCTGCAGTTCCTCATCTGGGGTCTGCTCATCAGCTATGCACCATTGCTCCATCTCCCCATCTAGGAATATCAACAAACGCTTAAAAACAACACACGGTGAATGGACCAAACAGATTCAGAATCCACCTTATCTGATAGAGATATGAAACAGAGTTGGACTTCAATTGAATCTGCTTGTGCCTTGGTTTCTTATGCTAGAATTTAAGTGGATAATGTATGCAGGATAGAGAAACATCGAAGTTCTACACTTTCTGACATCAAAAGGACTTGAAGTTGGGAAATTCATACCTGATTTTAGAGAAATTGCGGACATTACCAACAGAGCAAGTATTATGTTTGGTACTAAAGTTGACATCTTCATGTGTGTAAGAGAGAGAGAGAGAGACAGCTATCGAAAGAGATGGGTTAGAGCCACGAAAGGTATAAACAAAAATGGATAACACTTTTTTGTTTTTGTTTTTGTTTTGTTTTGTTTTTTTTTTTTTTTTTTTTTTTGATAAGGGCAAT